ACTCCAGGCATGGAAAGACAGCAGTACCATTCTGAGCACTTGCAGGCCTTCTAATCCATGTCAGCAATACCCTATTACACCACACCTCCACCCTGAAGCTGTAAACAGTTGATCTAACACTAGGCTGGTTAGTATCATGGCAAGGAGCACTGCTTCAGTCATACTGGCCAGTGTCTATCTGAAAATGGTGCTGGCTAGATAACAAAGGGACAGGACATGGGATGGCATGAGAAGAATCCTGGGAACCACAAGTCCTATAATGCATGCTAATTCTGTCTGAATTCTGCTATAGAACTCATAAGACTTGTAAGACCCCTGGAAAAATCTCACAAAACACTGACTGCCTCCCGATGAGCAGGGGTATGTGATGTGTGGCGTAACAAACCACATTCTTGGAATGTAAAAATGTACCCCATGCTGCAAATTTACAGTGCAGGGGAAACATTTGCTACTAGGATTTCCTGGTAGCAGGAAAAAAAGAAGTGTCACGGGAAAAAGCTGCACAAAGCACACTACAACAGTGTGCGCCAGAAAAAAACCGAGGCTCAGTCCTCCAGTGTGATGCTCTGGCTGCCTTAAGAGCATCTCTATGCTCTATGTGTTCTCTGGACGCTCCAGCACACCGGAATCTGGGAGGAACCGGGCAAGGGCAGTTTGTCTAGAGCAGGACAATGTGTCCTGCTGCAAGCAGGTGCCCTCTGTTGGTCTGGACGTGGCCACAGACTCAGCAGCAAAACAAAGAATCATGGAGACACCTTCCCAGAATATTAAGAACTAATCCAGAGAAAGTCCTTGCCATGTGGAAGTAATTATTCGATCTGCAAAAGGAGACAGGTAGCCATTTAAACATGGCTTCCACAGTCTTTTTAACAGTTTGTCATTGGAAACTACTGCACCTCCCCACAGTAGACAAGCCTTAAATTACACTTGTTACACTTTAACTAGATTTCACATATTAATTTAAGCTAATGTTTGTGATGATTTCAAGGTCTCCATTATATTTTGCTAGCAGCCTTTGCATTCAGCTTCCAGTGGCATCAAACAGAATTGTGTTCTTTGATCAAAGACATACAATATGACATTTTGTGTTTACTCTCAGAGAAAGCTTTTAACATTTACTTTCAGTTTGCATTTAGTTGCTTGGTAGAACAAAATTAGATTTCAGTGCAGTGGCACTGTCCATATCTGAGGCCTAAATATATTCTCATTTCAATAGCTTTGTCCTCTGGCTATGGATTCTCTATGATTGAATTATACATGAATATAGCAAAGTATATTTGAAATATACTTGTGTAAGTAGCACCTGAATAATTCACCAGGTTGTACATGATGAATATATGGGTGAAAAAAGCAAAAGGTCTGACATGTTTCAGATTTTTTAAAAGCTTAATCAAATGAAAACTTGTTGTGCCTATTAATGTATTTTCCTAAAAAAATAAAAATACAAAAAAATCTACACCTCCAAATAGTCAACTTTTTATTCATTGAAGAGATAACTGTTGTTTTTAATGTTTATCTTTAAATAAATTGTGCTTGATTTTTTTTGTATACTAAACTTCCTGTAAACTATTCCAGCAGTGTAAAGGGCTATTTAGAGTAAGTAATAGAATTTATGCTGTGGTATAAATGAGAATCAGATATACTACCTCTCCATAAGGAAAGCTAAATGTCATTACTTTCTATCTATCCCAAGGCGGCTATATTTTTTCCTGCTTTTTTCCCCTTTTGCTTTATCATAAGTAGAGTTAATTACTCCAGATGACTTGAAGCTATCATGTTATTCCAAATTTAATTACCATATAATATGAAGTTTTCAGAACAAATGATAGCTTTGCCTTATAAGGCATAACTAGCTGGGATTCATTCCCCACCTGGCATCATAGAAAAAAGAAGTAAAATTAGTCTTTAGATTGGTTCTAGGAAAAGATAAGGATTAATTATTACTCTTTCTAAGATTACTCTTATTTCTACTGGATTATCTTTTTCTTGCTCCCTAGTGCAACTGTACGGAGTGAGGGTTGGCAGCAGTGTCAGAATGTTTATTGATTAACAATCTTTCCATTCTTGTGCACAGAGAAATGTAACACAGAAATTTTATTTTATTGTATCTTGTTTTAGAACAAAAGTAATCATAGAATCATCAAATCATAGACTATCAGTGCTGGAAGAGACCTCAGGAAGTCATCCAGTCCAATCCCCTGTTCAAAGCAGGATTGTTCCCAACTATATCATCCCACCCAAGGCTTCCCTCAATCTGCTGGCAATGCTACTACTAATGCAGCCCAATATGCCGTTAACCTTCTTTGCAACAAGGACTCACTTTTGGCTCATATTCAGCTTATTGCCCACTGTAACCCCCAGGTCTTTTCTGCAGCACTGCTGCTTGCCCCATGGGTCCCCAGCCTGTAACAGTGCATGGGACTGTTCCACCCTAAGTGCAGGATTTTGCACTTGTTCCTATTGACCCTGTTGAGATTTCTTTTGGTCCAAGCCTCCAATTTGTTGAGGTCTCTCTGAATCCTAGCCCCTCCTCTCCAGCATTTCCACTACTCCCCCTAGCTTGGTGTCATTCACAAACCTGGTGAGGGTGCACTCCATCCCATCTTCCAGGTCACTGATGAAGATACTGAACAAAACCAGCCCCAGGACTGACCCCTGGGGTACCCCAGTTGACCCTGGCTTCCAACTAGACATCAAGCCATTGACTACTATCCTCTGAACCTGATGATCCAGGAGTTTTCTATCCACCTTACAATCTATTCATCCAACCCAGTACTTTAGCAAGTACCAAATAACTACACAGTACCAACTGTGCAATCAGGGGCACATGTAGACATGCCCCGTGGGTGCAAAGAAACATTTGCAGGACCCAGCTCAGGTTTAGGCAACTTAGTTTAAGCCACCTAAATCTGAACTGAGATTCCTGCATGCATGTGTTTGCTGCTTGCCAGGAGGAAGTGCAGGTAACTAGAGGCAATTAAATTGGGGTGGGGTTGACAGGTTGGAGGCAGCTAGAAGGACTGCAGAGGGGTGGCGGGGAAGGTTGGCCAGTTTGTGTGGGGGACTGCCTGGTCTGAGGTGAGCTAGTCCAGGGGGTAAAAAAGCCTGGTCAGGGTTGAGGAGGTAAAAACAGCATAGCCCTAGGACTGTGCAGAATTGTTGGGCTTTTCCACCATTTTTTAGGTTAGGCTATCCTGTTTTAGTTCAGGTTAACCCATGCCAATCTAAAGTTCGTTCTCATTTGATAAGAACTAGCTTATCAGGTGAACCATTTCTAGGGAAAACTGGGTGCTGTGAATGCTTTCACATGTAACCATTTAAATGGCCCTAAGCTTGGTATACACCCTATGATTCCTCTCTTACTTTGGTCTATCACATGTATTTAAACTGTAGGTACTTTAGGTTGGGGACTATCTCTGATGAGTTTTTAAAATTGCTCAGCACAGTTGCATTCTGAATCACTTGTGTTTTCTATGCCCTATTGTAATATTAATGTAACTGCTAGTCACTTTTTAGTTATGAGTGAATCATAACTCTTTCTAAATTACGGGTTTTTTTCCTGATCAGCCTATGACCATGCAGGTTGTTCTCCACTTTGACTTCTGGGCCTATAAAGAGCTCCAATACTTTCTCTTGATGTTTAACCAGAACAAACAACTTGCAGGATCAAGCCTTACTATTTAAGCCTTCAGAACTGCAGATTGTATGGCTGGATAGAACTGCAGTAGCTGCTAACACAGTTGGCCCATATTTTACTCTCCTTTTACTTTCATATTCACAACCCCATTGACTTTAATTTGAAGCTGAGGTACAACCCAACTAGGATGACTTGACATGGCTCCAGACCATGTCTTAGTTTTGTTTAAAATTTTTAAACAGGAAGAATCCTGCCTCTTTTTTTTTTCTTAATGTAAATTGCCTGTTTAAAACAGTCACAATTGATTAGTGCTATGTAGAGCCTAGGACTTCATAGAAGCACTTCTGAAGTGGAAACAAGTATTTTTAAATGTCAGAATAAATGCAGTTTGGAAAAACATTCTAGCTACAGTAGTTTTAGCTTCAATTTTTGGTTTTATTACCTCCCCAAAAATCCCCTAAGGGTCAGATTCAATAAAAATTCTTACAGCTTCAGTGTGACATCCCTCTTCCCTCAAGGAAGCAAAAGACCTTTTGAGGTTTGCTCATGCTTCTGTGGTATGAAACCTGGACACGGTTTTTATTGGTTCTTGCTAAAATAAAAAAATAAATAAAATGACTTCTAGTTCTGCCCAGGGAGTATTTAGGAATAATTCTATTTCATGTCTCTGTAAGAAGACCAGCTCTGTGTGCTGTGGGAATGTGAGTTACCTTGAGCACTAGCTACTGGCATTAGAACATATTTCATAGTTGCTATACTAATGCGATTGGATTACAAACCTTGTGACAGGTTAGAGATTTCTGAAATAGGAAAATTGTTCAGCTGTGTAGAGCTATTGTCTTCTGCTATTTATAGTATGTACAGGCTGGCTCTGTTTTTCTCCATGGGGAACACAGCATCCTCAAAGTTTAATCATGCTTTATGCCTCAGTATTTTGCAGCATTTAGTATTGGAAAGGAAGATCTTTGTCTTTGGCCTTCCAGTTGCTTTCCCCCCCATTCCATAAAAAAAACTTGGTATTTGTGCCTCTAAAAGGGCATTTATTGAAAATATTCCTCAGTTACATGAACATGTGGCCTGCATTGACAGAATTTGTGTGCTTAACCCACATTCATTGCATCTCAGTGAGCTATACCAAGCAGGTTCAGGGATGCTTCTCTCACTGCAGATGTGGCTCATCCAGGCACAGTGACATTTATATGTCAGAATGAAAATAATGAAAAGCTAATCTCAGTGGCCTGAGAGGCAAAAAGGGAGCGGCGGGGGGGGGGAGAAGAGGGGGAGCAAGGAGGAAATAAACCTTTTAAAGAGCAAGGGCTTGCTTTAAAAAAATAAATAAATAAGCAGTCCACATTTTATCAGCTGGGAAACAGGCAAGGGCTTGAAAATATCATGCTCTATGTCAGTCCATTTTAGAATGGGATTAAGATTTTTCCTTAATATCTTTTCCTTCTGTACCTTGGCTTCCTCCCTGGTGAAGTAGGGATAATCACACTTACTTTCCCTTTTAAAGCAGTTTAAACTCTTCAGATTAGTGAAGAATAATACTTCCATAGCATTTTTAAAGATACTGCTCATCATTCTTATATATGTTTATTATTGTTGCATGTACAAGCTATAGTCATGGAATAGTAGCCTATTCTGCAAGACAAAACACAAACACATAATGAAAAGATGATTCTTGCCCAAAGATTTAGCAAGCTGAAACAAGAGGCAAAGATGCATAGGTGCAGGCTGGCAAGTGCAAGGAGACAATACTGGTCAAAATTATAGCTAATAGCTTGTATACAACAGCAGCTTAACCACTGAGGTTGGGTTTGTTTTGCTTAATTATAGATATCACAGGGCACATCTACACATGTGCTTTACTGCAAAGTAGAGTAATTAGCTGTGGTGTAAAGTGTCACCGTCTACACATGGGACTGTATTAGGCCATGGTAAACTAATTAACACCATGATAAGATAGTACTGTCAGAGACAGTACTATCCTATGGCAGAGTAATTAACTGTGATTAAATGCATGTGTAGACACTGACCATCATGTAAATTGCCCAGGCAGCAGGGGACAAGATTTCTGCCTGCTGCCTAGCCAGATGCCTATGCACTTTTAGCACCCTTATGCCCCAGCCAGCCTGATGCCACCACCCAGAGCCCAGGGCCGAGCAGAGCAGGAGCATCCCTGTTGTAAACTACTTCTCCCTGGTTCAGATTGCTGCTGTCCCAGGTGCACATGTAGATAGTATCTGGGAGTAGCTTATTCTGGCTCAGAATGCTCCAGAGCTTATTGCTTCAAGTAAGTGCACATGTAGATGCACCGCAGAGTATTAAAGCATATGATAAGGTGACTTTATAAAGATGTTCAAAAACATCTCAAAAGAACGAAAGGATAAGCAGAAGATGCTTATAAAATCTAGGGAAGAGTTGAAATAATCAATGGATAGAGAAATAAGTATAGAAAGCATTACATGGTAGGATGAATCAATGTTCTTTACAGACCAAGGCAGTTGTCTGAACCTGACTATCTAGGAGAGACTTGGAACACTTTGATGAAATGCAGGGCTTTTTTGTCCACCATTTAGGACCACATTGTGACAATAACTGTGAGAAATTTATCCCAAAAAAGATGTGTAGACTGTGCAGCTTTACCAGTGAAACAATCTAGAATACCATGGGGGGAATATCATGTCCTCACTTGCCCAGATAATATTTAATGCTCAGTATAATGGTGTTTAAAAGGTGATTAATTGCACTGAGTTGACATTGATTTCTATGGAACCACTCACAACACCTAACATTGAGCAAATGCATCAACTTTTGTTTTGCTTTATTTTGGTGAAATATACTTGATCTAAAAACAAAGTCAAGTTATACTTCAGTGAAGAGGATGCAGTACAAATGTAAGCTATACCTGACAATAAATTGTGCAGGAAAGTTTCCTGATCATCATCAGAATATGCCCAGCTTCTAGTTTATGGTTCTTTTAATAAAACTTCACACATATAAAGCAGAAGGGGGCAAGTATCAAGATTTATTTAATTACATTTCCACCTACCCAAATCTCTGATAAAGCATAGTTTGCATTGTTGCTAAGGAAATTACACAGGAACTGCTTGAACACAAAAGCCTGCAAATGGTGATAATGAAAGATTCAATCTGCTTGGAAGGCAGGGGGTTGCACACGAACATCTGCTCTTCTATTTCTTTTCACTTTTACCATGCAAAATACAAAGAAACCAGAAGGTTCTAAAATTCCCA